CCGGGGCAGTGGGGGCCCTCCCCGGCAGAGGTCCTCTCGGCCCGCCGCGGCGCCTTCTTCCCTGCCGCCCGCCTCGGAGGCCCGCCGTCGGCGGCGGGGGGTGACTTTTGCCGGCTGCCCTTGCTGCCCGGTGCTTTGTTGGCGGTCCTGGGCCGCGGTCCGTCCGCGACGGTGGTGGTGGTGGCGGCACGGCCCTCCCCACTGCGGTGCTCAGCCGGGCCGGCAGCCGGGGTCTTCTCGCTTTCCTGCCGCTCTGCCTTCACGCGGCCGTAGTAGGGATGCGCCTCCAGCGCTGGGCCATCATGGTGGGTCAGGATGGGTGCTTTGTGCGGGGTGACTTTATTTAGCCACTTGTCCAGCTGCCACTTGTTGGATGAGGGTGGCTCGGGCTGAAAGGGAAACAGATGGCAATGAGCTCAGTGCCGAGACCCTGCTGCCCTTTACCCGGGGCTCCCTCAGGGACACCGAAACGCTGGGTCCCTCCTGGTATCACCGGGATTTTCGTCCGGTCAAAGAGCTGTCCCCAAGCTGCGGCAACCCCCTGGTGCTGGCCCTGCACGGCGAGACGGGAGACATGGGTCATGCTGCGCAAGTGGGGATATTTTTGGTTTCAGAATGAGATGGGGAGGGAGGATGGCTTCCGTGATTCATCATTTCTAAGGATGATTCACGCAGTGCTACTGGCATCGGCTTTACTGAGAAATGCTCCCAAGTTTCCAAACAGAAGACAATACAATGGTGATAAGAAGGGAGGAAAACAAGGCAGGGGTATGGCTGAGACTAAGGGAGCATAGCTAGTAGGAAAGCTAGGCATATGTATTTTGTGTCTTGCACCATCACAATAAATACAAAAAGTATTTTAAAAGCATACAAAAAAGCATGTAGCGGGGAGTTGGAGGGCTAACCAGGCGGCTCATGTAACCTGTCTGGTATTGGCGTTATAATCCTGTGAGATCCCACAAACATTTATTGTGTGGTGGTATTGTCAAGCACTTATTTTGAGAGTATTGTGCTGCTGTTAGTTTTTCTTTTCTTTCCTGTCACAACACGATCAAGTTACAAGAAAGCATCTAAAACATAATGGTGTTGGGACAGTGAAGAAGTGGGATAATCATGATTTCAAATGTAACCACAGCTCAGACAATGTTATTTCAGAACAATGTGCAAGTGTTTTCTAGTGCTTCTTGCAATCAGTAATTTTAATGTAATAAAATGAAGAGAAGCAAAAAAACCGCAGAGAAATAAATGATGGAGTAGATGGCCAGCCATAACTTAACCCCTCAGAAGCCAATGTGAAAAGTCTCCTAATTTCCTTAGCTGGAAACAAAGTTTGATCCACTAGATCGCTACATATGAATAATCAAAAAGCATGTCATGAGTCTAACATGAAAACCGTCAATGCTCTGGAAGAAAGTTTGCTCAAGAGAGAATATCCACAGTCTCTAACTTAAAAGAGTCTCTTACTTAACTCCTTATTTAAAGTAGGTGCCTGAGGGCAACACAGGTTTCCTACATAGCCAACGGCATCTCCAGAATCACTCACCGAGGGTTGTATTCACTCTACACGGAGCAAAGGCTCCTAAAATAAGCAAAAAAGTTAGACATCGGAATTCATATGATACAAATACTCCTTCTCACACAAGTGTCTAATTTATTCATTATCAAGCTATACAATACCTATGGGAAGTTTGCTGGATTGCCTTAAGTTCATTTTTTCTTAAGCATACTCCCTAAGATCTTACATGAGGAATTTCTTTCCTGAGCTGTAAATCTTCTAAATAGATGGTCAGTATTTCTCTTGGATGAAGATATATTTTTACAACTCTTAACTCTTTATCTAAAATAAACAGCATCTTTTGGTTTGCTTCTGAAAATACAGACAGATTTGTTTGGTGCCATTCATTGTGCACATACTGAATTTACTAGGTATATAATAAAAGGTTCACTATACACGGAAGTCTTTCCACCGTTCAGGTGTATTTAAGAAAAGGACATACATCAGAAGCACGTGGGGAAAAATATACCTCTGCTCATAAGTATAGGTCAGAGTGAGGGCAGCTTGAAAAATTAAAAGAACTTCCAGCTTTTCTGTTAGATCCCATTCTGTCTCTTTATATACCTTGTAATTCTTGAAAACAGTGGTTCACAAAATATGGATTTCAAGGGATCACAGTAAACCAGCAGAAAACAGTGATTAACTTCTACAGTGTTATAACTTGGCAACGTGGTACTTTCCTAGAGTGGTATGTCTGCTATTTAGGCAGAATAACTACAGTCCCACCAACCTATAAGCCAACTATGAAGTCTAATAAAAAAGATCAACAGTGTTGCCAGCTTTACTAATTTTGTCAGGAGTTTCAGGACACTTGTTATTTTTTTTAAAGCCTCAGCTTTCAGAATCATGGGCTTAGCTGCACTTCCAGGGTTTATTCAAATAAAAATTCAAATCCTTGTGGCCGCTGGAAAAAACCTTAAGATGTGTCTGCTAAAAAAAAACTTTTAAGATGCATCTGGTAAAAGTAAAAAGGCTGCAGCCCATCAGGTAAATTAAAAGAATCCAAATTAAAAAGATCAGAATTTTGAAACTTCTCTCACTATTTTTGGGCCCTCATGCAGTTTTGGAATATTTGAGATTGTCAGTGTACATGAGTGATGCCAATTCACTTTTGGAAGTGATTTATTCGACTCATTGCTTTAACTGAAAAGTACTGTACTTTGAAATAACTTAAAAAAACAAGGTATCCTGTGAGAGAACAAAATCATGACAGTCGAGAATGAAGATCAGGCCTGGTAAAAAAAGGGATTGGGAAAATTCACTTGAAAGTTTTCACCAGTCCGCTTTACATGCCTACCTGCAATTATTTGTGGGAGAAAAAGAAAATCCCTAATTCTCCAGTCCACACCACCCCCCCGAGCATGTCACATACCATTCTATGGAAGAAAAGTTGGTTTGCTCAAAGTGGGAAATTTTCAGCAGCACGTAAGGATGGAAATATAGATGAGTATATATCCAGAGTGATCAGACAGCAAAATGGTCTCTGTCCCTTGGTTTTTCTCTCATGGAAATATGCTGCCCTCAAGACCTTGTAGAGAACTGGGCAGTTTTTAATTGGAGTAAACCTGGTGGTGCACAGATGGGCAGCAGTAATAGGAATAACAGTCTGTGATGAAGCTTACTTGCAATGAAATATGGGGTTTGGCACGAAAACCCAAACCGGGAAACTTTACGAGACAAAGATAGTTTAAGGGACCAATGCACCACAGATGTACGCATGTGCCAGGCTTCATCGAGAAACAGAAGGATGTGATACACTTCCTTAAAAATTGTGGGTGGATTAATCTGTACAACATAGACACCTATATCTGAGCTAGTCAACGAGTTCCTTCTCCAGTCAGTGGACGACTCTTCTAGGGTGTGAAAAATTCCCTCTTGAAATAGGCATCTAAAATAGGGCAGATGAGCTGGGCCCTAAAAAACATCTATTCCTCTCTGCCGACTGTAAAGGGGAGGCTGAGGTGATGAGCAGATGTAGGTATCTACAGTAGAAGTGTCCAAATTTAGGTGGGATGACTCCCACGCAGCACGTCTGTATATCTCAGATCTCTTCAAGGCTACAAGTACAACCAGAGGCATGAGCAGCATACATCCAAAAGAAACCTTTGTCAAAACATTATCCAGAAGCACTTGCTAGGGTAAAGGACTGTTAAACAATGTAAGTGTAATGCGGTCATTCTACGCTTGTTATTACAAAGAGGGACCTAAGGTGTAGCTAATACCATGGTAAACTTGAAGCATGACACCACTTTCATTGAGAGATTAGATAGCCTATAATACGTGCATGTACTTAGCCCACTGTGGGGTAGGACTGAGCTATCCACCATCCCTGCAGTATACTCCGCCTATTGTAAATCCACATACTAATTTACCCCTATGATAACTTGCTTGTGCTGCCTGCTAACAAAGATTTCATTCGGGGCAATCCCTATAGAAATGTGGTGCCTTTTCATTGTATGTAAGGCATAGATAATGATGATGATGGAGAAGATGATGATGATGATGATTATTACTACTACTACTTTATTGCTACTATTAGCACCGCTCCTAGCGCTTTATCAAATTAGAACTGGGGATTCCCACGTGTTAGGCACAGCACGCACATACTGTAAGAGGTGGTTCCTGCCACAAAGATTTTTCTGGAGGGAAAGGAGACTTTAGTTTCTAGTCATTGTCAAAAATAGTCCACAGGACAGCTAAAGCCCATGAATCCTATTTGCAAAGGTAAAGATAGTGTCTACAGTTGGTCTAGTGGTAAAATCCCCTTTTCTTCTGAGTGTACCAGTCAGGAAATCAAATCAGGGCTATACTTAGGATGGGAAGCAAAAACTTTTTGGAAAACAAGACAGATACAGAAAACATACCCCTCCTACCCTGCAACCCTAAAACTACAACTCTTCTTCCCCTGCCTCCCTAATGAAATCTATCAGTGAAGAAAGGCTGGTGAGGTGGCAGGAGCACGCTCACCAGTTAACTAGTCTGTTAGATGTTACACACATTCTTCCTATTTTCCGAGCTAAAGAGAAGAGAGCCAATGCCACAGAGCACCTGAGGGAACAGCAGGGATTCACAGGCAGTGGCTCCTCAGCCACTGGTACTGATGTCCAGGCACTTGAAGGACTTGATGCACAGTGGTGAGGAGGTCGCTCTCTGCTGATGAGAGAGGAGGGTGGGGAAGAACATAACCCTGCAAATTGCTTCAGCTTTGACCTGGTCAGTCACAACATGGGGACTTGAGATGAAAAAGTATATCCTGTGATGATGGAATAAGCATGGACAACAAGTATATGTGAATCCTTGAAAAAGAGGAAAAAACTTTAAGGACATTGCATCTGGCCCCCTGGTGGGGCCCAGGACAGGATACCTGTCTCTCCTGGCCTGGTTACTGTTGACTAGCCACTGATGCTTTGTCCCATGCGATGGCTTCTCTGCTTCCTTCCTGCCCATTCCCCCCTCTAGTCCGCCCTGCATAGTAGGAATTCCCAGTTGTTTAACCAGATTCAGCCTTATTAAAGGTCTGCAGGATAATTCAGTGGAACAAAGAACAAACCAACCAAATTCTTAGCTTTTGAAATGTAGCTCTTTCTATGGACTTGACACCCAAGGTTTTTTTCTACCATCTGAAATAATTGCAAGGACAAGACGTCATTGTTTTCCAGAGTCCTCATTTATGATGTTAATTAAGGTCACGCAAAGAATTCATGACTTCAGCAAAGAAACAGGAGATAGAAGCCTCAGTCCCTTGTTCATAATTTCAGGTTTGGCAGTCTACAAAACTGTAACTACTCACATTAATGTCTGAGGCACCTTAATTTGTCCACATCACTGAAACCAGTCTGAATGTTGTCTCCTGTTCTAGCTCAGCCATTTTTCTTACTTTACTGCAGACATAAAGTGTAGACAGCTGAGCTAGTCACTACAGGCTCTAAATAGTCAATGGAAGGAAACAGACACTTTTAGGGTGCAATTCATCTAATCTATTTTATATGTATGCTTTACAATGAGCTGCTTTTACACTCTAGGCAACTGCATTTAGACACCTGAGAACAACTCAAAGATCTCAAAATGAGATGAGGAAAAAAATACAGAAGAAATGAAACAGCAATTGAATTTCTATATAACCTCAAATGCAGAAGACACACTGTCCTAGAAATAAAAATCTTTGAGTATATGCATATAATATTTCAGATTATGGAAAAAAAAAAAAGAATGAAGGCATCATAATGGTCTGCAGATTTCCAGATTAAGTTCCTCCCAACCTGGAAATACGGATTTCCTGCCCAGCATTGTGCTGGAGTACTCAGGTTCATTTTATCTGAATGTATCAGTTTATGCTAAAGCAAAAGCAATGATGTATTTTCTTTTTCTGTCTTATCCAATAGATGGAATTCATTTTAAGACTAGGATTGGAACTGAATCTACTACTTAAATTTAGGAGGACAACATGTCCCTTTAAAGAGCTTCCAAGGATCTGTTTCTCTCCATTTACTGGGTAAGAACATGGCATATACATTAGAAAGATGGCTTCACTGGGTGCCTAGATGTAACTTAAAGCATTAATGCAAAGCAGACAGGACTTCCAGTCAGAGACATCACATAAGCATGTCTTGAACTGGTGCCATCAGTCATATGATGGGACTGGCCCTTGGGGAAAGCACAGGTATCCTACTTCCCTGGGACACCCTGACCCTATCCGTGTGTGGCCTCTCCCATATCCCATCAAGGCACGACCAATGAAAGCCACTGCAGCCATCACATTTTTTAAGTCATTTACATTTTTGTATAAGCATGTTTCATACAGCATGTCCTAGAACTCAAACCACACGAATATAATGCAAAGAGACAAGCAATCTGTTGGAGCAGAGCAGCTGTTTCATGACAATGATCACTGATAACTCAGGCTTTGTACAAAAGTAGTTCCACAGATCTCGAGAGGATATGTATAAAATGCTTAAGAGGAGGCACTTCCTCCACATTTCCATGACTCTCAGTCCCCTGCTTGACTTTATGAAATCCACGACCTGCCTCAGTTAATTAACTTCCCGCATTCCCCGAGGAATTGCTGCTCTCAGGTCCAAGCAGCACTGGTACCTGCCTAGATACGAAACACTCCTCCCTTCCTGGGTACTGCGCTTCTCCTCCTTTTATCTCATATTTCCTTCCCCCCTACAGTGGTTCCTTCTCTTTCTTTTTGTCCCTTTTCTTCCATCTTCTGAGATCCCGCAGGGACAGGAGAGACCAAGCATGAGATCTCTGCACTAATTCCAGCGGGGAACTAGGCAGAGAGAGAACAAGGTCTTAACGGGCTGGATGAGAGAGCTCAGAATGGGAAATAAGACATGGGGTAGCACAGTGAAGGCAACAGGGAAGAGAGACTGGAAGGAGGAGAATAGAGACAAAAGGGAAGAGAACCAGAGAGAGGGATTTAGGAAAGGGACAAAACGAGAGGAAAATTAACTGGAAATGGATCTGAAAGTACTGTGAAGGAAAGACAGAAAGGAAGATAAGGAACAAAAGTGACAGAACCTGAGAAAAATATATTAAGGATGTTTCTGCAAGTGCTGTGTTTTGTCTGATAGAAAACATGGTCCCAAATAACCGTGCAAAAGATGAGGAAAGGCTTGCTGCTTATTCAGTATAATTTTTCAGGGTGAGAGAATAGGTGAGGCACAGTTTTGAGGGGAGGAGTCTGGCGATTGGATGCTTTATGTGGAGTAGGAAAATACACTGACTGTATTTCATGTGTATTTACAATCTTGCTGCTAGATTTTCGAATATTTTCACATACATTAATGTGTGTGTTGTGGCTGTGGAGTTCATGGTTTTAAACTAAAGGTGTGCATTGACCGAAACACGTAAAAACATCAATCCTGGTAGAAAAGCAGAGCAAAGAAAGCAGTTTTGTCGTTGTCTGTTGAGCACTGCAGAGGTGAAAACAGAAGGTGGCATAGCACTGGCAGCTTAATTGTCATTTGGCCATGGCTTGTCTACATGTGGAAATTTTCAGTACTAGCTTTCCAGATGACAAGTTTGGGCTTAATGTTTTGCACCATGAGTAATTCAGTTTAGTCCATCTTGGAGGTGGATTAAAATAAATCACACAAAGGCAGCAGTAGCAGAGAATAATTCACTTAGGGAGTGAGGTAAGGGAAGTGCGTGAGTGAAAAACAACTGTTTTGCTTTAAAAATCCACCCTCAGACTGATTTCGTAATAGCTTCCCTGTGTAGAGAAGCCTTTAGTTCCCTTGCAGTGCTGGGAGCCCACGCCAGGACTTAGGCACTAAGCAAGCCATTGCTATGGAGGCAGAGTTGCGTAAAACTTCAAGCAAGCTGTGAGCCTTGCAAGGCGCTCCACTCATCCCCAATTTGAGGAAAATATCACAGGGTTATTGCTTTCTTCATTTTTGTTTCAAATGCTTTAATCTGCCTCAGGATCCCCTACCACTTGCATTTCACAGCATGCCAGGAGGAGGATCCCTGGGCCTTTCTTTTCCATTTTTTCGTACGTGTCCCCACAGCCTCCTTGTGTTGGCTTGGCTGCAAAAAGGTCTGAGCGGGTGTAATAACAGATTGCTGCCCTAAATTATAAAGAGCAGAAGCCCTTACCTCTGGGCTGGAATAATGCGAGGGCTTGCTGCCGTCGCTCTCGCTGGAGCTGCTTTCGCTCTCTGAGTCAGACTCTGAGCTGGTCTCGGATTCACTGGAGCTGCTGCTGCTCGACCCCTTGCTGGAGAGTCCCGAGGCTCGGGCGTTGGACTGCGGTACCACCAGGCTGCCAGCCCCCCACACAGCCCATCGGGGAGGGGGGAGGGAAGAGAAAAAAACAAGAACATAAAAAAACCACATGTAAAACCCATGGTGTTTTAGGGAGCATACCTAGCTGAATGCCTGTGAGCTTGTCTCAGCTGCTAACGAATGGTGAAGTGAGTTCGACATTACATTATTGTAATTCGGGGGAAAATACGGGGTTACCCTCATATCCATCTAAATCCATAGCCTTTGCCATCTCTTCATCTGAGGGAGGGTCAAGTTTTCACTTCAGCTTGTCTCTTTTCTCATTCAACAGGCATTTTAGGATGTATTAAAAATATCAGACGTTAAAAAACAGAGTATAGAAAAAAGTCTTACACTGTCTAATGAACACTGCACAGAGGTGAAAGCAGGAGATGAAAAAGGTGAACAGTTAAGAAACAGAGTTGAACTCCACAGTACCAGTCATTTATAAGTAGTAACAGCAATAACGATAATAATAACAATAATAATACATCCTCACTGGAGCTTCCGACCCCCATCTTTTCTTCCGCGCACTTCTTCACCTACCCGTAAATGATGTGGTTACCTGTATATACCATCTTGATATTGACAACTGCAAGATCTAAGACTCTGATCCTGCAAAAACTTGAAGAGCTCTGGCTTGTGTTTTTGCACGTCAGCAGTGCAGTGCTGTCAGCAGAGCTACTTGCCTTCTTAAAAGTTATGTTTGCATGCAAGTGTTTGTATTATCAGGCCTGACAGCAGAAGAAATGTATACTTCCCTGAAATAGTTGACCATGCATATTAAAAAATATCACAGTCATAAAGACTTGAGTGAGAAATGTCCTATTAAGTCATCCAGCTTATTCCCCAGGCAATGGAAGATTGTTCCCTATAGCAGGGTGCATTTTCTACTGTTGTCCAATATGATTTTAAATGACTTGAATGCAGCTTTTACTTTTACCCCTGGGAAACTTCTCTGCAAACTAACCCAAATTCCACTGTCAGAAATTTCTCCCTACATTCAACCTGAAGTTGCCCTTTCTAAATTTATTGTTGTTACTTATTATTTCATCCTATTACTAATAGTTACTATGATGAATTATCCTCCTCCCTTTTTGCTTTCACATATTTGCAGACTGTTTTCCTGCCCTACTTCAGTCATCTTTCAGACAAGGCCTTACACATTTACTTCTTCTGATCTTTCTTCATAAGTCATTATCTCCAGGGATATGGGATCATTTTTATGGCTCTTTGCTGAACTCATTCCAATTTGTCTATATCTCTCTGATAACAGGATGCCCAAAACAGAGTGCAGCATTATAGATGGGTTCTCACTAGACCCCTACAATGAAGGGCTATTACCTTCCTGCTCCTTGATGCGTTGCTTCTGTAAACATATACCCGAGCTCTGATGGAATATATAGTCCATTAACACTCCTACATCTCTTTCAACACTGCTTTCTCCAGAATTCCTCCACTGATAGCTACATTTTAGATTATTTGCTTCCAGAGAGATTAGCTTTCTTTTTTTTCTTCATACCAGATCTCATTTTCCTCTTTACTGCACATGTTTCTAGCTCCTTTTGATTTATTTCTCTGCCCTCAGAGGTGTCTGCAGCAACTTCTAATTTAGTATCAAATGCAAACTTAATTAAATGGTTATTCACTTCCTTTTCCAGATCATTAATGAGACTGTTAAATAAACCCCATATGAAACACACCGGTACCCTAATAACCATCTCTTCCCAACTCTGTTCACCGGTGTTTATCATTACCCTTGTTTATGCTCCATCAGTCCAATATTGTGGCTAATGCAATGTGATCTTGGAGATGCATTTTGTGAGAAATAATATCTAATAATTAATTACAGTTCTGCTATGTTGCACCTCATGAATTGTCTTTACCTGCTAATGGTGCATTTCATTCTGGAAAACTGGTACCTGACACCTGACACAAGCCACATATGACAGGCAATTTCCAGGGCTTTGGAAAGAGGCCAGGCCATCAGAGATGCAGTTTCAACTCCACGATTCCCCACGGCCACACGCTTCCTGGCCCTATCCCCTCCTCCCCTAACATATGCCAACCTTTCCCCACTGGACCACCTGTCTTGCACAAGCCAGTACTCCCACCACATCGCCTTTACTTATAGCATCCCCCTCGCCTTTTGCCAGGAAGCAGCACAGCTGCCCATGGCTTTTTTGCTCCGGAGAGTTTCTGGTTGCTTGGGCAATCGTGCCGCTGTCAGAGAGCTTTCCGCACCCTTCGAGGCACAGCAGGGCCAGGCAGTGCAGAAAACCTCACCTGTGATCTCACTTTACTAATTGAAGCAAGTAAAATAAACAGGAGAGGGAGGAGCTGACATCCATTTATATTTTTGACCTTTATTTCCATCCTTGTAACAGGCGGTAGAGAGAGGCAACAGTAAAAGCTCTTTCTCTGGCAGGACGGCTCGGTGCTACACGCACGTTCGCAGAAGTGCCTGCCAGCTCTTGGGAGGCAAGAGGTCTGTGATCATGCACGGGCATTAAATGTACCAATTACAATGAGTGCCTTTAAAAACTTGCCCTCTGCTATTTTTGTTGTTATTCATGATGTCTCTTTGTCTAGCCAGGTAGGTGTGGTAAATACAAGATTTTCAGGCAGCCGTTTGTATAACAGCATTAAGGCACAGAGGTGCCTGAAACAGAAAGAGCTTATAAGCTTGTAAAAATTTTCCTTCCCAGAGAAGGAAAATTGATGTTTTGTGCACTGCTTTGGGACAATGCAGTTTTCCACTTGTACAAGTTGCCCAGTAAACTCTAGATATAAGTTGCTCACTTATATTAACAGATTACAGTCAATCCCTCGCTAATAAAATAGTAAGAGCTATAGAAAGGCCATTGTGAGTAGGTTTTCTGGTTTTGATTTTTTTTCTTCTTTTTTTTTTTCTTAAGGGAATATGAAAAGGTAACTGCCTTTCCTGACAATGTAGCTTAGGGAATGCTTTTGACAGTGTCCAACTGATGGATTTCCAGTCCTCTCCACAACAGCATTGTGACTATTGCCTGAAAAGTTCTTCCACATCACAAAACATCTGCACATTTATGTCCTGCCCCTGGTGACTGTGGTTTTAATTTTTAAACCATCATTTTTGTTTGGCATTGACTGAAGTATTCAGAATTGCTATATAGGGGATGAGGGAGAACCCCCCCCCACAGTAATATTTCTTTCCTGTTGTGACATGAAATGTTTTTCTAGGCTGCTGAATAGAAATTGTTACTACAGCCATAGATATAAAATATAACTGTTGGACTCTTCACAAACATCTGGAAATCTATGTTTGCTGCTCTAATGGTAGCCAATATACTACAAAAAATTTAACATTACAATATTTTCCCATTTATGCTGATACTCTTGAAGTCTTCTGTGCCCCTTCGACCTTTTCCATTTTTAAAGATAGCATATTCTTATAAGGATCCTTATTATATTATAGTGACCAGGGTGAAAACAGTTACATGTTTCTTCATGCATTCTTATTAAAAAATGATCATTATTTTAAATTGGCAACTTCCATTTTGGACTGTGCTGTCTAAAGTATGTAAGCAAGATCATGCAGTCAAAATAAAAGACCGATTTACATTTTAATGACTGTGGCACATAACATTCATGCATATTTTGCTACTGGCTTATGCCCCAGAATTAATTACTACATCATAGAAATGATATTTTTATTTTAAGCAATTAAACAACAATTTGGGTAAGAACCACTTTTCTTTAAAGCCCTTGATCAGAACATGCACTCTCTGACTTAAGAGAGAGAGTAAATACCTTGTAAAGTTGCCAGAAGTTCAGTAATAAGATCACTTAATAACCAACACACCATCTGAAGTTTCTGATCACGTATTTCCCATCATCCTGGCTATATGAGACTTGGGCACCTAAATGATGTGCAAGTCTCCAACAACCTATTTTCCTGCACTGCCTAGTGGACAAGTCACCCTTCTCTAAAAAACTGCTCGATACCTTGTAGCCTCAATTTTTCTCAGATGTGCAGGTTCAGAAACACAATGATTTGGGGAGGTTAATACTTCTTCCCCACTCAAACTAATTTGTGATCCAAGTTGAGAGGTGGAGCCATCTCAATCCTTGGAGAAGCCTGAGGTTAGTTTTGGTGGGACCAATTATTAGCTCCATCAGACTGCATGACCACGACCAGCCTTTGAAAAGCACCAAGGTGGTTTAAACACTTGTGCAGGAAGGTGCAGGCGCTTGCTATTCAGTCGGTGGAGAGAGATTCCCAAATCAGATTGCCTCAGTGGCCCTCAGGAGACCTCCTGAGGTTAATCACACTGGATCTGGGTCCTACTCTATGCTTTATATTGAGCTGCTGCTTACAGCTGCACTACTTTCCATGATAATAAATCATGGCATTCAGCACTGGCCACAAGAAGTTCCTGGGCAGCTAAGCGTATGCTGCATTGCAGGAATTCAGTCTCAGTGTTTCAAAGACAGACAGCATGGATGCCTGATCAAGGTACAAGTAAAACAGATGCAGTTCTTTACTAAACTGCCAGTATTTGGTAACAATATTAAATGGATTCAAAAGAGAAAAATCTATCTGATGCTGAAGAATTTGTGATCCCAATTCTTCACTGTGTTACAATATGAAGGCACTTTATACCTACTTTACACAGATAAGAATGATTATCAGGAATGCAAAGCAAGGCAAAATCAGGCCTCAAAGTAAAGACTGTGCCAACAAAACATATCAGAGTGAGCCTCTGAACTACTTTTCCAGCTACAATAAAGGCTACGCAAATGCTCATGCTTTATATTTTGGAGTCCAGTTGGTCTGTATAATTTCACTTTGCAAGAACTGTATCCAGAGCTGCCTTATCAAAAAGCTCAGTAACAGTATCAGACACTATCTGCTGTATTTGTTTTTGTGTCTGGAGATGGGACAATATTTAGCCAGTGTCATCTGCATTGCTGTGATCATCTAAACTACTTTTCTTCTAAATCTCACCCTATGGT